ACCATCCATGCAATAATGAGAAGATTTGATTACTCAACTAATTAGAGGCTGAAATAATAGTTAGCGACCCCTCTGGGATTAATACAGCAGAATGAAGATGTTAAAGTATTTAACGATCCTCTTTTGCAAATACAAAGCATGAGAAACTTATGGATGGGGCTGAGACAGGGGTGAGTTGCTGGGGGTTCGGGAGAATCTGTAGCTAAGATTCTGTGCAGTTCGGAGAACCCCCAAATCCCACTCCTGGCTAGCCCCAATTACCCCACCCCGCCTTCCCCTCCCAGGAGTCCCCACGCGGCCCATTTTGGATGCAGGTAAGTGCAGGGTGTGCATGGAGGCTCGGGGAGGGTGAAAAACGAGCCTACCAGAAGATCGGGAAGGCCGGAAACGGGCCCATTTCTGGCTTCCAGAGCCTGGGGAGGCTGTTTTTGCCCTCCTGGAGGCTCGAGGAAAGCCTCTGGAGCCCGGGGAGGGCAAAAACGCCCTCCCCTCCCTGCTGTGGTGCAAGAGGCTGACTAGGCCACACCCACCATGGCCACACCCACCAGCAACTGGGCAGAGAACCCCTTGCTAAAATTTTTGAAGCCCACCCCTGGGCTGAGAGACCAAAAATGCACTATGGGAGGTACTCTACAATCATGCATTGACGTTAGACAATCTGGTGGTTTGAAATATTGTCAGTCCCATTTTTGTATCAGCCAAACAGCCCCGTAACATCAGAAGATAGGGGTCTCACTGCTATGGGTCCTAATCCAGTTTAAATTAGATATGACTAGTTATAGATCTAGCCCACCGAATTCAGTGGGTTCTACTGTTGAGTAGACATTATTTGATATTCTCACCATGTTCCACTGGGCTATGCAGTGCTTCTTGACCTGGAATTATGTCCTGCCGTGCTCCATGGAACTTGTAGTAGCAGCCATCAGGATAAACTCTAGCTGAATCAAGACCGCTGGCATGAAAATGTCAACTCCCAGGGCCAATATAACAATCATTCGTACAACTTGCAGCCAAACAAGAGGAGAAGATGTTGAAAAAGGATCAAGGGGTAGAAATAAGACAGGGCATGGGACTCCTTATTTTCACTGACTGAGCACAAATTAACCAAAGCTAAGTCACTTTAAGTTCTCTTGATTGTCCTAGCGAATTTTAATTTTTCCATTGTGGCCCGGATGATTGCTCCATGAATCTTAACATTCCTGGATTTAAAAACACCACCACCAAATCTCTCTCTCTGATCAAGGTGATTGGGGTTTTTTTGGCTCACATAAGATACCCGCAAAATCTCACCCTTGCAGAAATTTTACATGACACCGTAATGAGGATCCTTCCTTCTAATTTACAAACGTGGAATTTCGCTCTGTTGGGACAGGATGCTAGCATATGAGTGGGACACTCTTGACAAAGTTGGGATACCCAGGGTCACTTTGGAGCATAAAAAGGCTCAGATGCTTTCTCCCATTGAAAAAGGGAAGTTTTGTCTTCTCAAATTCGCCAGGGAGAAGATGAATTTTGATTCTCAGAGGTTGCATCTCATGCCTGCAAGAATTTTTGCATGCCTGCAAACCTGAGGCCTCCCTGACTAACAGTGCATTTCTTTTCCAGCAGACTGATTATGGTGAATCTCTCTCTCTCTCATTCTTTCTTTCTCTCTCTCTCTCTCTCTCTCTTTCATCCTGTGGTGAAATGCAGCCGGTTCTATCCAGCTCAGGCGAACCGGTAGCACCAGCGGCAGGAGGCTCCCCCCACCCGCTCGGACGTCATCACGTCCCATTTTTGATGCTCTGTGCATGCACAGAAGATCCTATGCATGTGTGTTCCCATTTGTGAACCGGTAGCGAAGGTAAGTGGATTTCACCCCTGCTCTCATCTATCTATCTATCTATCTATCTATCTATCTATCTATCTATCTATCTATCTATCTATGTCTGTCTGTCTATCTATACCTATCTATCATCTATCTATCATCTGTCATCTATTATCTCTCTTTCTCTCCATCCATCATCCATCCATCCATCCATCCATCCATCCACCCAAAAACCCATCTATCATCCATTGTATCTATCCTCAATTTTTCCTACAATCATAATCTCACCGAGATGTTCTTCTACAGGAAATCTCTTTGCTCAAAATTGTGAAAGTGAATTTGCTATAAAATTAGTTTGCAAAGGAGTAAAAAAACGAACAAAAAAACTGGTTGCAAATGTCAGCAGAAGAGTTGTATACTGGCATTTAAATTAATCTATGGGATGTCTAACGAGTATGCAAAACCATTCCTTATCAACTTCTCTCAACAGCCTCTCTGGCTTCTCCAGCTTTTATTCATTCCCAAGGGAAGACCTTCAAAAGAATGTCCTCTTTTTGGTCTTTTTTAAAAAAAAAAAAAACTTGGGAATTATAGATATCCCGAGAAGCTTTTGAATTGAATCATAGAAAAGAGGTATAACAGAAAATCACTTTGACAGTGGTTTTCTTCAGCACTTCCAGCAATAAAATAAGCTCCAAACACTAGCGGGAGAAGTTCTCAATTACTTGGAGAAGAATGTAACAAACCGGAAATAGAACCAAACTTTTGAGAAAATGCAAGAAGGAATTTGGTGCATTGCTAGTTAGGACTACTAACCATTGCAACCATTTAGCGTTTTGCATCACAGACATAGCCAAGATTAAATATTCTCACACATCATGTATTTATGAAGATTCCAACCTCGTAGATTTTGATGGAATCTGGAGTTGAAACAAAGGGGGAACAAAGCCACATTATTAATCTGGGCAAAATGGTGGATCTTAAGAGTCTCAAAAAAAAAAAAAAATCAGAAATATTTTTGTTCTGAAAAATAGGGAACCGTCTGTTGAGGGTTGCTTTTTTTTTTTAGAAAAGGAGAACAAAATGTTCAGTTTTCACATTACACATTTATAATATATATTGAAAGGCTCAAGAGTATATTTAATAAACCAAAACCAAGCAATCGGAGGAAAGTTACGATCGATTTCAAGTCTCTTATAAATCATTTTGGACCATCATTAATTTAATTATTTTTTTTTTACAGTGATGAATGGGCCCTGGTGAAATGCCAGATGTTTTTCTTAAATATATATATATATCAAAAGGAGGAAAGAATATATATTTGTTTTTAAAATACCTGAACAGCTGTACTTATGCTTTATGGTGACTGCCAAATCAAAAATAATGCAGAAAAAAGATAAATTAATTATGCATAATTTACTAGCTGGAACTGCTGATCGTATTGCTTGTGTATTATGATATGCACCTTTATGACATTAAGATAAAGAAGCAGTTCAGCTGGGGAAAAAAAATGTGGACAATGATGAAATGCTACGATAACAAGACAAAACAAGACATCACGATGGAGATGCATGACTCTGAATAGAACCCCAGAACAAGTTATTTGAGACGGAGGGAGGAACAGGAAAGGTTTTGCTGAAAGAAACACTGGAATGGTGCCAATATGGTGCCCAAGAGGCATGGCATCTCACGGTTGTTTGAGATAATTGGTCATTGTCTACATCTACGGCAGGGATCTCCATAGATGGCAGCTTTAAGGCTTGTGGACTTCAACTCCCAGAATTCCCCAGCCAGCATGGGCCTCACCTCCGTGATGCCTTCTTTTCATTTGTTAATTATCATTGCTTTTCACGGATGGCTGAGGAATTCTGGGAGTTGAAGTCCACAAGTCTTAAAGTTGGGAGATTTGGAGATCCTTGCTCTACAGCAGGGGTGTAGATCTGGCCCAAGGGGTGCTTAGATCTGGAAACAGTGAAAGACTGGGCCGTGGTGCCTCTGCCAATGAAAACGGAGCTCGGGAGGCTGAGCACGCGGCCCTCTTGAGCTCCGTTTTTGCTGGCAGAGGGTTGCAGGAGGCCGTGGCAGCTGAAAACAGAGCTCGGGAGCCCGTTTTCGCTGGCAGAGTGCTTGGGCCGCCACAGGCGCCCCCGACATGAGTGATGTTGAGCCTGCCAGGCCCACCCTGGCCCTGCGAGATCAAACACAACCCTCAATGAAGTCGAGTTTGACACCCCCGCTCGACAGGATGCCAGCATTTTTCACCTGTACAGAAAAGACAGGGCAACCTTAAGACCTAAACTTCAATCAGAAATACTGCCGTTTTTATATACAGTGCAGGTGTAAATTTATTTTCTCATTTCCCACTTAACCGTTGTTAATTCCATTGATGCCTATGGTCAGAAATAAGCCTCTGCTGCTGCTCATTTTATTAAACGGAGTTTAGGATGGCAGGTTTAGCTTGCTCTTTGTGCAATATCGTTCTCCTCCTTGTCTTGCACTGACTACTTTTCATATTTTTATTTTATTTTATTGATTAGATTTCCAGGACTTTGTAAGTATTTTGCAAGTTTCCCTGAAAAAAAGACCCTGTCTTATTATTTTTTTTCAACCCCGAAATAAGCGCTTGGCCTTATTTTCCGGGAGGTCTTATTATTTTGAGGCACATGGAGCAAGATGGGGCTCCTATTGCCAAATTTACCTGATTTCCAGCTCTGCGTTTAAATATTTTTGGGGAGGACTTATTTTCGGGGGGAAGCTTATTTTCGGGGAAACAGGGTTTGTATATATAATGGTATAAAAATGTTAATTATTTTAGTTCCAGAGTTCGCAGTGTGTGTGTGTGTGTGTGTGTGTGTGTGTGTGTGTGTGTGTGTGTAATTTTCATTCTGAGGTTTTCGCGGGTGTTTGTATGTAGGTCTTTGGTTATTTGGGTTTTCTCCCGCGTAAAATTGGAAGTGTCTTGGCGACGTTTCGACAAGCACTAAGCCGAAAACACCAGCCTGAAGATGACGAATGAGACTTCGTCGAAACGTCACCAAGACACTTCCAATTTTACGCGGGAGAAAACCCGAATAGCCAAAGACATACATACATACATACATACATACATACATACATACATACATATATATATATATATATATATATATATATATATATGTTACTTTTTTAAAAAAAGAAGAGGAATTCTGGGGCTCTCAAAAACCTTCTTTGGAATGTTATGTTTTCCCATAAGTAGTTTTCCTATACAAGTAGTCCTCGACTTACGACCACCATTGAGTTCCAAATTTCTGTTGCTAAGTAAGACATTTGTTAAATGAGTATGCCCCAATTTTATGATCTTTCTTGCCACCGTTGTTAAACAAATCACATGCGGTTGTTAAGTTAGTAACACAGTTGTTAAGAGAATCTGGCTTCTCAGACGGTCGCAAAAGGGGATTAATCGCATGATTTTGGGACACTGCAACCGTCATAAATATGAGCCAGTTGCCAAGCAGCTGAATTTTGATCATGTGACGTTGAGGATGCTGCAACGGTCATTAAGTGTGAAAAATGGCCATAAGTCATTTTTTCAGTGCCATTGTAACTTTGAATGTTCACTAAACGAACTGTTGTAAGTCGAGGACTAACTATATATGACTTATATATCAGATTTGCACTCGTAATAAACCAATTAGAATGGCAAAATGCATCTGCTACCCCTACCTTCCCTACTTCTATCAGCAGTTTTGTTTACGAGATTGGCCAAAGCCAGCTGCGATCCTTAAATCTATGGTCATCAAAGTGCTTCAAACTAATCTTGAGAGAGAGGAGGGAGAGGAGAGAAAGAGAGTGAAGTGGGGGGGGGGGAAAGAAGAAAATAAGAGAACATTAAACCCACTTATTCAAAGTGGGTTTAATATTCAAAGGGCCTGGTGGCTCAGCAGACTGATAGCATTGTGATTAACACCAGCTGTCTGCAATTACTGTAAGTTCGAATCCCACCAGGCTCAAGGTTGACTCAGCCTTCCATCCTTTCTAAGGTAGGTAAATTGAGGACCCAGTTTGTGGGGGCAATAAGCTGACTTTGTATAAATATACAAAAGTATGAAGGCTATCGCTTAACGCATTGTAAGCCGCCCTGAGTCTCCGGAGAAGGGCGGCATATAAATCAAATTAAAAAAAAAAGTTTTTTTTCCCATCTTCATCCCAACAAACAGCCAAAGTTTTCACAAATCCAGGCAACCTTCAAGAGACCCCGGCAATCAATTGTCTTTCAATCAGTGTCACCAAAAGTCTAGGATTACGCAACCAGATTTCCTTCGATATTGGAATAAACTGTAGGACTAAGGGCAGGAAATTTTGTATGCTAGTAGGGGCTTTTGAGCAGAAGGTACATCTCAATATGTGTCTGACATGCCAACGCCTAGACTAGGTTGGTCGGTGAATCAAATTATTCTGGCTGAATAGAAGTTCCCGGAAACCACAAAAACAGCAGCCCCAGTGACATGAGGGCATCTCTTACGCATGGCTAGCCCTCCTCTTCAAAGCCATATTTCACACCACGGGAAACAGGGCGAAAGCTTCAGCTTCTGCACTTATCACAACAACGAGGAAAGCAAGAAGACAGACCAGCTAGATGAATCACACACAGGGTCCATGAGATTTCCACAGATCAGACAAAAACGTTATCGGTGCGACCGTAAGATATAGACTCGGCTCCCATCCTATTAAAGATGTAACTGTGGGTCTGAAAATTTGGACGTAAAGTTTTGGCCAATCCTTTTCTTTTCATTCCAGCGATCTAATTAGGAAGCTGCTGCTTCCTTTTCTGTTCCTCTGGACAAAAAAAAAAAAATATATCTATGTTTCTATACCTACCTACTTTGCAGATACCATACAGATTCAAACTTTTTGGGAATGCAATTGAGTTATTCAATTTTGCTCTCACAATCGCTTGGTATTTGGTCCCCTTAAACCATCGACACACAATCCATGCGCGCGCACACACACAAATCCAAAGTTTGCCTGTCTCTATATAGATTTGATTCACCTGAGAATCACTTCAAGTTTATTTAAAAAAAAAAAAAAAAAAGCAACAAGAACTAACCTTATCAGGTGCTGGCAATGGACTTCTTCAAGAGATTGTCTAAGACACAATGCTTCCCTAATTTAAGACTAAAGACAAGATGAAAGAAAGACAATCAAGACAACCAAATGAGAAAAGAAAATTATGAAATAGACATCATTTCTCACATTAGTACAGATTTGGCACTTTGCTCAACATTTGATCTGGTCTGGAATTGGTGAAAAGTAAAAGGAGGACTCTCCTAAAAAAGGAAGAGGTTGATTGGCTGATTGCTTGGGGTGGCTACAACAGAGATATGTCTAACTATAGTCCATGTAGCAGAATTTGCCCAGTTAGGATTGGCTAGTTGCTTGGGGTGGCTACAACAGAGATATGTCTAACTATAGCCCATGTAGCAGAATTTGCTCAGTTAGGATTATGAACACCAAATTAAAGGAATGGCTGAGAAGATTGAAATGGGAAGAGGTGATGGGAATCTCTCTAAGATATTCCGATTTGGAGACCCAATCACTTTTGGATCCAGTCCAAAAGGACCAATAAAGGAGAATATTTGTAGCTCAGGGTTGAAATGAGGGATCCTTGATGCTCTCTGAGCTTGGTTTGATTCTTGCAGATGTTTCATGACCCAACTGAAGGCTTAGTGTTTTAACATAATGACAGAATTGGAAGGGACCCTTGGAGCTCTTCTAGTCCAACCTCTTGCTCAAGCAGGAAACCTTATACCATTTAGGTAATACCATCAGTGCTAGAAGAGAGTGGATTTTGCTTCCAGCACTGGTTTGGGTAATGAATCATCTGCAAAAAAAACCCCAAAAAACAAAAAAAACAACCAAGCTCAGAGAACACCAAGGCCGTCTGACTGAAAAGACCTTTGTAAAGTTGATGACCGAACAATAACCAAGGACAGATATCCAGTCAACCAATTGCATTTTGGATAATTAATTTATGTCTTTCTCTTGTGAAAAGACTGTGACCATCAATTTATTTGCCAAAGGGCTGACATTCAGAATTTTGGGAGGGGTTGAGAACCCACGGTCTACTAGGCTAAGATGAACCGATCTAGATGAGCTACTAGACTGGGCAACCTTTATTCAGTCAAGAGTTACATTCCCATTGGACTAATAAGCTAGGGCCACACAGCCGACATCGGGTGGGGAAGGATTCAAACTGGATACTGTCCACTTTTAACGAGACCTTCCAGTTTTGTCTCATGCAGAGAGCTTCAGGAAGGAACAGGTCATTTTTTATTCTGATTTCAAGAGCTCTGAAGGTAGACTGAGGGCCAATTCCTGTTCTGAAAGGATAAGTGGTCTCGCCTGGCGTAAAGGTACATTGATAAGACCAAAAGCGTGGGCTGTAAATGATATAATTAATGCAAATGTTTATTGCATCCTGCGCAGTATCCCATTGGCACTGGCATAAGACACCAAAGGCTCTGAGCAGATCCTAAATGTTCAATCTCCAGCATTTTGATTTTTCTACACAATAATCCTTAGGTTCTCTTCCCTGCTGCAGAGCCACCGTTGACTCAGATTCTGCATGGGTTCAACCTGGCTTGGTCCCTGCATCCCTGCCAGATGCATAACGTGCTTTCAAGTCTAATTCTGGAAAGGTGGAAGAAAAGATGGTGGAAACACGAGGAAGGGGAGGAATTAAAAGAAGCCTATCGTTGGTCCCTCCCCTCTTACCAGATGCATCATTATCTCTCCCAACCCCACCCCACCCCAAAAATCTTAATTTTTTTTTCTTTAAATTGTACACAAAACAACAGAACACATTCACAAGCCACTTGTTGGCACTGTGTACCTGAGTGAGAATTTTCTAGAACATTATAGAACAAATAGCCATAAAGTTTATTTGAAAAATAATAATAATAAAAGGTCGAACGGGTAAGACTTCAGTGCTTGGGTCTAGCAGCTGAATTACTGGCATTATGTTACCCATAGCTTATTTTTTTTTGTCCTTTTTTTTTTTCTTTGTCATGATTGACTTCCTTGATAGGGTTTCTTCCTCTGAGCCTTTTGTCTTTCTTTTCCTTTCTTTTTTTCTCCTTTCTTTTAGAATTCCTTTCTTGCTTTTCCAAAGTTCTCAACGCAGGCTGATATCTCCTGATCAGCTGATGTCCCAACTAGTAAAGACTAAAAAAGTTTTAAGTAACAGTCAGTGTGTGAGGATAAAGTTTGTGTGCTTGGCCACTGGGTAAGAAACCGGACTGTGGGGGTCTCCGTTAAAGTCCTCCGAGGTCAAAACCAAGAATGGGAACCCCCCGATCAGTTGGCTTGTCCTGCAATGTGGTTTTCGCTTTCACTGCCGTAGTCCACATCGCGGTCATCTTCTTCATCCTCATCGTCTTCGTACATTTCGCCATTGATGTCCTCGCTCTGCATTTCCTCTTTGACATGAGAAGCCTCCTCGTTTTTGATGCCGTAAGTGCTCTGGATGATGGGCATTCCAGGTTCTGGGCTACTAGATACACTTGAATGCTCGGAGGGAAGATGCGGGGAGGGCATTCCCGTCATGGCGATGGCTCCCGGATAGACGACACCGGCTGTCGCAATAGGAATCTGTGCTTGCTGTCTGTGGGCGATAAAGGAAGACAGGCATGAACAGTAGTTAGGATATGGAAAAGGGAGTCCTCTTGTAGAAAATTAGCACCCATCTGTTCTGACCTAGGCTTCCCCAGCAGCACGAAACCAAGTCCTCGTCCTGATAAACCCCTTTTATTTAATTTACAGTGACTTCTTCTCCAGCAAAGTCTTTCCTCTCCCACAGTCTTTCAAGATAGTTCCCCATTACTGAGCTTTATCAGGCTTGGGGAGTGGCCAGGCGGGTGGGTAAAATGAGGGGGCAATATGCTATTTAGTATACTGTCTTTGGTGTAAGCCACCCAGAGTCCTCGGAGAGTGGGCGGCATAGAAATATGACAAATAAATAAATAAATAAATAAATAAATAAATAAATAAGATTGAAGTCATAATGGTGATTTTATTCAGGCTGATGATCTCTCTTTTTCTCTTTCCCTGTGTACATGTTTTAGCTAGCTTTGCAAACAGAGACATGTGTTTAGTAAGCAGCACCTTGATCATAACTGGTTTGAGAAGAGATCAAGGCAAAAACAGGAGAGAGAGAGAAAGGGAGGGAGAGAGGGAGAGAGAGATATGGAGAGAAAGAGAGAGAGAAGCTAACCACTATTGCCAAATGCTTCATTCAAATCACTGCAATTAATCTGATTTGTTAATAAAGGCCATTGATCCAGAAACTAATTTGAATAACAAGAAATCTCTAAACCTAAAGCCAGACCCCGAAATATATCTCCGTTCAGTCTCATTTGCTTTAAGCCTAAGCCTTTTCCTTCCCATCCTGACCCTAACAACCTTCAGGCATGTGGACAAAAATCTTGACATCATTACTCGTCCGGCACAATTAAAAAGACAGAACTGGGTATCACCAGCACGTTGGTGATGATGACCTCATCCAGAAAACTCATGTAGATGTTAAACCGAAGGGAGAAGTGTGTCAAGCCCTGAGGTACCCCAGAATTCAAGGGCTTTCGGTTTGACCTCTACCCTGCCCTGTTAGCACCAGCTGGGACTAGCTATGAATAAAGGAGAACAATTACAATATTGGGCCTCCCACAGGGATGAAATTAGTGGTGGGATTCAGCCAGTTCGCACCACTTCGGGAGAACCAGTTGTTAACTTTCTGAGCAATTTGGCAAACTGGTTGTTGGAAGGAATCGTTAGGGCAGAGAACCGGTTGTTAAATTACTTGAATCCCACCACTGGATGAAATCCAACAGGTTCTAACAGGTTCTGGAGAATCGGTAACGGAAATTTTGAGTAGTTCAGAGAACTGGCAAATACCACCTCTGGCTGGCCCCAGAGTGGGGTGGGAATGGAGATTTTGCAATATCCTTCCCCTGCCATGCCCACCAAGCCACGCCCACAGAACCGCTAGGGAAAAATTTTTTGAATTTCACCCCTGGTCTCCCACCGTCAAGCCCTAAAGATGGACTAGAACAGGGGTGCCAAACTCAAGGTCCGCGGACTGAAACTCCGGCCAGTGAGGTATTTAGATTTGGCCCATGGGGCTGCCCGGAGCAATGCTTAGATCTAGCCCGTGGGGCCTCTGCCAGAAAAACTGAGCTCGCAAGCTCTGTTTTCAATGGCTGAGGGTTGCAGGAGGTCGTCCCCCTTGAAAACGGAGCTCAGGAGTTTTCGCTGGCAGAGCGTAAGGACTGGGTTATTCTTGGGCCTTCTGCATTCTCTTCTTGAATTCTGGAACTCCATCTGCCTTCCTTTTTTTTATTAAAAAAATAATTTTTATAACAATTTTCCTTTACACAACTCTAGTACATAATCAACAGATTGTGTCATTTTTATATACTTCGGATCAACATACATTATACACTTTCAATATCTAATCCTCAATAGCCTTATATATATATTTCCAATTTTTATTTCTATTATCTATCCAGGTATACCACTTTTCCCAAACTGCATAAAATTCCAAATCCTCTTTTTCTTTTAGTTCTAGGGTAGGTTTATCCATTTCGGCACATTCGTATATCTTCTGAATAATCAATCCCTCTGTGGGTGTATTGCATTCCTTCCAGTATTGCGCGAACGCAATTCTTGCCGCTGTTAATATGTGTAGGATCAAATATCGTATCTTTCTATCAAATTTTGTTCTAAGTATTCCCAGGAGAAATGTTTCCGGGTTTAGTTCTATTTGACATTTTATTATCTCTTGTAGCCATCCTTGTATCTTAGTCCAATACTTTTTCACTTCAGGGCATAGCCACCAAGCATGAAGGAAGGTACCTTGACATTGGTTACATTTCCAATACTTTGGGCTTAGAATACATTTTAGCCAGTCTTGCTGGAGCTAGGTGCCAACGGTAAAGCATTTTGTACTGATTTTCCTTATAAGCAGCGGATTTTGTTATAATGTAGTTTTTGTTCCAAATTCTTTCCCAATCATCTAAATCTATATTATGTCCTATGTTTTTAGCCCATGCAATCATCGGTTCTTTCACCACTTCCTCTACTCTATCAAATTCTAATAGTTATATAGCTGCCTTCCTATTCTTATTCCACGATCCCTGCAAACCTATGAGGCTGAGCACTCATTTTCTCTCTCCTCTGCTCCAAGAAATTAATTCCTCTGTGATAATATTGCGTTGAACATGCTTTAGCCTCATAATACCCTCCAAAGAAGAAAAAAAAAATCTGTCCATCTGGCAGGAGAAACCTCACCGCGCGAGAGAAGAGAAACATCTTTAGAGAGCAAGCAGATTTGACTGGAGAGCAAAGCCATACACTGGCCCATCCGGCTGAGCGTACAATAAGCTTTTGACTGATCCTGGAAAGCTCTCTAGAGGCTGGGTTGGCTCTCTGTTCTTTGCCACATGTCCAAAATATCTTGCTTTTGTCAGCCAAAAGGTGGCGGTTGTTTGTGTATTATTCTAAGACAAACAGAGTTATCCGGGGAATAAGGGGCGGATTGTCAGCGATCCCCTTCCTTCCATTGAAACAGAGAAGCAGAGGGTTGACCATCTGTTCCAAAAGGCACAGCTATTCCGATCAGGGCCATCAGACCAGTGTTTCCCAACCTTGAGAGTTTGAAGTCCACGCAACCTTCAAGTTCATAAGTTTGAGAAACGTTGCATTAGATCAGGGGTCTCCAACCTTGGCAACTATAAGCCTGGTGGACTTCAACTCCCAGAATTGAAGCAAAGCTGGCTGGGGAATTCTGGGAGTTGAAGTCCACCAGGCTTACAGTGTTCTGACCTAGGCTTCCTCAGCAGCACGAAGCCGAGTCCTCGTCCCGATAAAACTCTTTTTATTTAATTTACAGTGAACTCCTCTCCAGCAAAGTCTTTCAAGATAGTTCACCATTACCGACCTTTATCAGGCTTGGAGAGTGGCCAGGACGATATCTTTCAGACGTCGCAATACGTGGCAAGAATGCAGGAATGAACTAATTGTCTCCTGCAAACTCCACTCCCCTTTCGCTCCTCTTTTATTCCCTCTGGGAGGGGTCATTCATCGTCCACCTGTGGCCTTACTCCCAAGTCGACCCTTGTTCTTTAGCTGTTCCTGCAACTCTGTGCGTGCGCACACTGGGAACAGGCTCCAGCTGTTCGTCTGCCTCACTGATGTCTGACTCCGAAGGCAGCTGATAACTGGCATCTGGCCCTGGCCCCCTCTCTGCCTCCGATGCAGAGCCCTCATCAGAGCTTTCCCAAGACTCCAGGACTGGCCCATGTTCCTCCCCAACCTCCTCACTGACCGAATCTGCTGCCAGTTCCGCTAGCAGGCCACAACATACAGCTGCCAAGGTTGAAGACCCCTGCATTAGATGACCATTGTTCTTCCTTCTTGGTACCTAAAGCAAAGGTACCTCGTTTTTCTCCTGCCGACAGCCAGTTTTCGCTGTGGAGGGACAGACCTACGACTACATTTCAAAGGTAGGGTGAGGCCAAGGTTAGAACTACTGTAACACTCTCTACATGGGGCTCCCCTTGAGGAGCACCTGGAGGCTCCAACTGGCGCAGAGTGCGGCCGCGCGGGTGGTTATGGGAGCAACATGGCGCTCCCATGTGACACCTCTCCTGCGCGAGCTGCACTGGCTCCCGGTGGTCTTCCGGGTGCGCTTCAAGGTTTTGGTTACCACCTTTAGAGGGCTCCATGGCTTAGGACCTGGTTATTTACGGGACCGCCTACTACCACAAGCAGCCTCCCACCGACTGGTACGCTCTCATAGAGAGGGGCTCCTCCAGGTGCCATCAGCTAAACAATGTCGACTGGCGGCCCCCAGGGGGAGGGCCTTCTCTGTGGGGGCACCCATTATCTGGAACGAGCTCCCCCCAGAGATACGGAGGATCCCGGATCTGCGCACTTTCCACCGTGCTCTTAAGACTCTCCTATTCCAGCAAGCTGGCCTGGCCTAATCTTCTCCCCTGTTTTAAAATTCTTTTCAATCAAAATTTTAATCTGTTTTAAATTATTGGGATTTTTAATTGTCTTGGGCTAAATTATTTAATCTGGTCTTAATTATGTTCTTAACTTTTGTATTTATGTATTTTATTTTGTGCCTGTTCATGCCCTGAGTCCTTCGGGAGTAGGGCGGTATATAAATCTAATAAAACAAACAAACAAACAAACTTTGATTTCCTTTCATTGTGACTAAATCAAATAAATATAGTAAGTGTATTACAGGTAATCCTTGACTTACAACCACAATTGAGCCCAAAATTTCCATGGCTGAACAACAGTTTGGCCCCAGGTTATGACATTTTTTTGCCATAGTCGTTAAGTGAATAACTATAGTGGTGGTTAGTAACACGGCTGTTAAGTGAACCTGGCTTCCCCCATTGACTTCGCTTGCCAAAAAGGTACAAAAGGTGTTCATGTGACCCTGGGACACTGCAACTGTCATAAATATGAACCAGTTGTGAAGTATCTGAATTTTGATCATGTGACTATTGGGATGCTACAACAGTCATAAGTGTGAAAAGCGGTCATAAGTCACTTTTGTCAATGTTGTTGCAATTTCTAACTGTCACTAATAAG